ACTTTCTGGCAAGTCTATAATAAAGTCCATGGAAATTTGCTTCCAAGGAGTCTCTGGGTTTGCCACTGTTTGTAGAAGCCCCATTGGTTTGCCCCCCCTCCTCCTGGCCATTGCACACGTGGGGCATGTACCCACATATTCCCCTACATCTTTTCTCATAGTTGGCCACCAAAATTGACGTCTGAGAAGATGTAAAGTTTTCACAAAGCCAAAGTGCCCAGCCGTTTTGCTATCATGGCCTCTTTGCAACACCCACTTCCTAGCGTCTGCAGGGACATACAGCTTATCTTGCTGCCACCATGTCCCCTGTTTGTTTACCAGGGATTGGTTATTGTTTTTAAACCAGTCATCCTGGGCAATCTGGGCATTTAATTTTTTCAATAATTCTCCTTCTGGTTGTTCTTCACCCCTTTTTCTCTGAGCTCTAGTGACCACTGTTAAAGCTGCTTGGGCACATGAAATTACAGGGGCGACCACTTCCTCTCACTTGCTGTTGTGTTGAGGCAGTCGAGACAGGGCATCCACCAGGAAATTTCTTCCCCCAGGAATGTACTTCAGGGAGAAGTTAAACTGATGAAAATATCGTGCCCATCTCATTTGCTTGGGAGACAGTTTCCTCGGTGCAGTCAAGGCCTCTAGATTTTTGTGATCAGTCCAAATTTCAAAGGGATGGGGTGATCCCTCCAACAAGTGTCTCCAGCCCAGTGCACCACGAACACCTCCTTTTCCCACACCAACCAGTGTCTTTCTGTTTCTGAAAATTTCTGGGATATGTACGCACATGGAAATATCTCCCCCACCCCTCCTTTCTGCAACAGCACAGCTCCCACTGCCATATCCGAAGCATCTGCCTGGATGACAAATGGCTGTTCTAGATCAGGGTGCTTTAAGATCAGTTCAGCCATAACCAGTTGCTTTAAACCTTGAAATTTTTCCTGGCACTCCTTAGTCCAGGCCAAGGGGGCTCCAGATTTTGAGGCCTTTGCCTTGTCCTTGCCCTTGG